TTCCACAACATCTCCTTTTTTCCATTCCCAGCCCCTCACTCCTCCCCCCTCTCGCAGCTCATCCACGTATACCCAACCTTCGTGTCCGGCGTCAACCGTCCTCCACCAATTGTCTTTGATCGGGTCATGAATCAGTCGTCCACTGGCTTTGGTTTTCCTGGCCGGGTGGTGGGGGCACTCGGATTCTGTCGAGAGATGGCCGTAAGCCTGGCACTTAAAGCACCAGGGTCTCATTTTGTGTGACGTATGAATTTTGAAATCACGTCCCCCTATCCGGAAGAGGATCACGTCATCAATGATGAAGATGTGACCTTTCGGGAGGTCGAGGGCGATCATGAGGTAGTCGTCCCTCGGGGTCACATGGGGCGGGAAGGGATCAATGAAGTCCACAATATCATATTTTTGGGCTAACTCTTGCACAAAAGCCCCCTGAATTTCAATGGGCACGTGACGGAATTCCACCCAGTAGTGATCAGACATTAATTGATCCCTCTTTTCCTCTGGTTTTTGTTGTTTCAAGGGGGACCAGGGGAAGATCCCGACCTCGGACCGACCACATGGTATGTTCCGCCAAGTGTCAATGATTCTTTTGTCTGAATCGAACATGCTGATCACTATGATCACTGCGGACGAGATGGGTTGGATTAGGAAGAAGTCTCCTGCCCCCTCCTCAGATCCTTTGAGGGTCGCGAGACGTTTCCTAATCCATCCTACCTTGTCGATGGTTGATTTATAGACTGCATCATCATAAAAAAAAAACATGTGCTTGCGTGGCGGGTATATATAACATCCCTTTCTCTGATTGCATCTCCCGGAAGCGCTTTTACCCTCTGCTTTTCCACCCCTTGACTAATTATCTTGTCCTCTGGTTTTGCTAAAAAATTCTCTAAGAAGAAGGCCGATGTTGTGGTCAGGTTGTCCAGTGGGATCTCTACATTACTTTCCCCTCCCCCTTCCCTCCCCACTGACAAGGCCTGGCCAGCGTAGATTTTTTTGAGCTTGTCAGCCCATGTGGGCTTGTTAGTGGCATCCTTTCCTCCCTGTAAGTCCTGCATCTCCTTTAACAACTCTGCAGGGGATGGGGGGGGGTGGGAAGATGATGCTTCAGCCATGGTGGCATCCTCCTTCCTCTCTTCCTCTCGCCATGGCCGCCAGTCAGACGAGTGGTGGCCCATGGCGCCATGGTGCCAGATCATCTGCCCTCTCCCCTTCCTGGCTTCGTTCTTAAGTCTCGCCATGTTCGTCATAGATGATGTGTCGAAAGCTGAAGTGGTGTGGTTAAGCTGGCTGACAGTAATCAAGGTTTTGTTGCCCTTGAACGAGATGTGAGGTAGGGGTCTGCAATCGGGAGGGGTGAGGATGAGGCGAGGGTGTTTGATCTCTTATTGGATCGTTCAACGTCTGGCCCTGTCAATAGCTGCCTCTACATGGGGAGGGGTAGATGGGGGCGGGAGATGGATAAGGTCGTGATAGTCGTGTAAAGACCATGTGAAGGAGGGGGGTGGACAAAATCTGAGGGTAAGAAGCGGCCGGATCCGGAGTCAGGGTGGAGGGGGAGGATGGATCCGGGGTCAGGGGGCTGAGGAAGGATGGAAACGGGGTCGGAGGGATGGGCGGGGTCGAAGGGGTGGGCGGTATCCATCGGAGGGGTGGGTAGGACCGGGCGGTATTGTGTAGAGACCAGGTGAAGGGGAGGGAGGGGCAGAATCAGAGGAGAGGGCTCGAGATCTGGATGAGAAACGGTCGGGTCCCGGGTCAGGGTGGAGGGGGAGGATGGATCCGAGGTTAGAGTGGAGGGGAAGGATGGAAACGGGGTCGTAGGGATGGATCCGAGGTCAGAGTGGAGGGGAAGGATGGAAACGGGGTCATAGGGATGGGCGGGGTCGAAGGGATGGGCGGTATCAGTTGGAGGGGTGGATAGGACCGGGCGATAACAAGATCGGGATCGGGATAAACGGAATCGAAGGAGGGGGCAGAGATGCCAGATCGGGATGGGGCGGGCAGGGCCAGAGAGATCGAGGGGATGAACGCAACGGACGGGGGGACGATGTTGAACGGGAAGAGGGAGGGCAGAACGGAAAACTGAGCGCGGTCAGGAGCAGTCGGGATAAACAGGATCGGAGGTGGGGGCAGAGGCTAGATCGGGATGGGGCGGGCAAGGCCAGGGAGGTCGGGGGGATGAACGCGACGGGCAGGGGGACGAGATTGAACGGGCAGGGGGAGGGCGGAGTGGAAAAATGAGCGCAGCCAGGCTCGGGATGAGTGCGACAGGTGGGGGGTCGAGAGTGAAACGGGGGGAGGGTGGAGCGGAAGAGCGAGCGCGACCAGGCTCGGGACGTGTAGAGAACTAGCGAGGAGCAGGGGAGGTGGGAGAGGACAATGAGATGGGGCGAGCGAGGTGGGCGAGGCGGGTCGGAAGCGGGGGTAGAAAGGCTAGATCGGGGGGGATGAACGCGACAAGACAGGGAGAGTTTGAACGGGATGGGGGGAAGGTGGGCCGGAAGGGGTATGTAGAGATCAGGCGAGATGTTTGAGAGAACAGGGGATGGCGAGGTGGGGGGGACAGGAGAGGACAGTGGGGGCTC